AATTTGTATTAAAGAAAACATTTTAATTTTGAAAAAAATATGTTTTAGGATTCTTACCAATGAACTTGGTTTTCTATATTCTAGTCCAGTCAATTCAGGAGCTATTCTGCTTTTCCTCTTGTGATTTAAGAAAGACAAAGTCAGGCCATCTTATCTGTATCCCATTAGATAACATAATGTTGAACGTGGCCAAATTGTAAATATACCTGGGGAATCAGACCATAGGTTATCCATCCACACTTATCGGTACTCCCTCATCTTAGCACACTCCTTGGTCCTTTACAACATGAGACTTGGGATATGAGATAGAACACAATAAGGGGTATGACTAATGCTTATAGTAAGGCTGTAGGTCTCAGTGAAAAGTAAGGATTAATGAAGAGTTGGGAAATAAGACCATTTCACCGTTCAAACCTTAAATGCTTAGAGTTGATGGGAAAGATGGAAAGTCATTTTTATAATCAGAGCACAACCCATTCTTCGTATCAGAGATACTGGGACTGTCTCTGAAAAGTCTCCCAAGAAAATGACAATTGTATATTCCCAAGTGTTTGTTTTTATTACCAGGAGAGCAACCTTATAACATGCCTAACTATCAACAACTGCAAGAACTTTCTGTCTTGGTAAGTGGGTAGTGACCCAGTGCTAAACAATGGTGGGTTGAGCCAGTATCTCCCAGGCACACTAGTATATGTGGAGTAAGAAGTTTACTTTGTTGGAAAACTTCATATTCACAGGCTGGTTGAACAGTTTTGACAGCTGCTTCCAAGACACTAAGCTATGTTCAGGCAAAGACGATGTCCTTTTCTCTGTGGTTTCTTTATTTGTGTACCCATTTATCTCCAGGGTATCCAATCTGTCAGATGCCACTGATCTTGCCAGAGCATTGTTCCATGGTGAATCATCATAGATCTTCAAGCAATCCACATGGAAAATGAAGATTTTTACTTTGTCATGTGTCAGCTAACCTAATTCACAGGGATGTGCCTCATACAGTCTTGGACCCAGTCTTTTAATAATTAGAATATCACTGGCAAGAATTTCATCTTTATCATAGAGTTCCTTCCCTTAACTCTACTTTGAACTTGGTACAAAATATAGACCCAATCAAGTTCTTGTTAAAAGTTTTGCCTTAGCTGCAACTATTTAACTATTTTTGACATTACAGCAATGTCTTTTGTAATTTTAGTAATTTGCCACTAGAATTATTGTGGATATTCTCCACTGATAGGCCAAAGCCACAGACCAAGATTTGTCACCATTCAATTTGAACACATTTATCATCAGAAACTGGCTGCTAAATATCTTTCTCATTATCCAGTTGTATAGCAATTTCTCCACCAGGAGCTTTGACCTATGTAAAAAGTCTTCAGAGTAAGGAGTAGATTTTAGAAACCAATTATTTTCATTTCAGGGAGAAGCAGATCATCAAGGTGGTTGGAGACAGTAGACTGTCTCTCTAGGAAAGTAGACACTAACTCATAGTAACATTCCTTTCTGATTTCCTGGGTACCCTCTTTGATACTTCTTAATATCTGCTATTGTTCTCTAATACTCCAAATTGGTGCCATACATAAACATAGTATTAATTTCCCCAGGGCATCTAACTTATAAAGCCATATTCAAAGGAATGTCTCTTCAGAGATCCTCTATTGCATCCAATTCAGACCAGTTTGTCCTCAGGGCTTCATCCTAAATTCCTAATAGCCAAGATAATGTAGAATATCCCCAAGTCTGGCTGTATGCTGTAAGTACATTATGAACTTCCTGCTTCAGGCTTTCTGAGTGTCTGTCCATTGGCTTTTGGCAACCTTTCTCCCATGGTTTGATTCCTATGGTCATTACCAGATGAATCAGACATTTAGGTAAAGGGGCCAACTCATTCTATACTTCAACAAAGACCCAAGGAGGAAGTTAAAGGGAAAGTTTGGGCAAGTGGAAATTAGCAGAAGTAGAAGTTAGTAGTCCCCCACACTGCTTACCTTGAGCGTCTTTCTTGGTACTCAGGAAAATTACTAGGGCTGACTATTTTGCTAAGTTCTCTGTTCTTGTCCTCAAAAGATAAAACCTCTCTTAAAATAGACATCTTCACACAATATCATGGTTCTAGGTCTCTAAAGTGCAAGAGCCTGCTCTTTTCAAAGTTTACTTATGAACAATTGCTTCTCTCATTTTACATTATAAATACACAACTCATTTTAGTTAACCTGGACTGTTCCGTATCAGAAAGATGATTAGTTATCATTTTATGACCTTTAAACAATAAACTATACAAGGGCCACAGACTTTCTTCAAAACCTGAACATTTGAATATGTTCACATTGATTAAGTACTGTTTTCATGTTCAACAGATCTCTACATTTCTGAGACTTTTGACAATATTTGCAGTTTTTCTAGTTTTCAGTGACAAGATCTACTTTCATAGTTGACCATTAAGGTTGAGGAGAATATGATGCAGGGCCTCTGCCAAGGGACACCAGTCAACATGTCATAGAGTGGGGAAAGTGGAGTTACCTTAGAAATTGCAAGAGGCTTTTCCAAAGCAGCTCATGTGTGTGTTTGTTAATGTCCAGCAGAAGGGAAAAGATGAAGAAAATTACCTACTGGATAAGCATATATATGTGTGTGTGTGTGTGTGTGTATAATGAAAAAAAAGAAAAAAAAATTTACTTATATACAAGAGGTCATGGCTTACAATTTTTACCCTATAGCTTATGATACTGATTATTCTGTGGGAGCTTTGGTGGCATAGTGCCTAAGGCATTTGACTGCTAACCAGAAGGCTGGTAGTTCACACCCACCAGCCACTCCATGGAAGGAAGACTGGGCAACCTACTTCCATAGAGATGCTGCTTCAAAAACCCAAGGAGGGGTCGTTATAAATAAGAACTCAACGGCAGTGAGGTTTTTTTTTTTTTGTTTTTGTTTTTGGCTTTAGCGCCACTCACAATTCTATCCTGCATCAGACTATGCCATATTGTTTCAGAGGAAGTATATCTAAATTCTAGGGAGACACTCTTCATTCACTTACCCATAAAATCTGTACAGTTTCTTTTTATAAATCAGCTGATGAAAGGCTCAGAATCTTAAGAATCAGACCTCGGTCAGAAGGACTTTTCAGCAATGCCCCGTATTTCCTACTCGGATTAGTATTAAAACCCATCCACTGCCATGGAGTCAGATCCAACTCATAAAGACTCCTCCTTGGGTTTCTGAGATAGTATCACTATGGAAGTAGATTGCCCACCCTCCCTTTCAAGGAGTGGCTGGTGGGTTTGAACCACCAGCCTTCTGGTTAGCAGTCAAATGCCTTAGGCTCTATGCCACCAGAGCTCCCAAGATAGCAGTCATATTTTACACATACAGAACATTTGCAAAGATTTCTCAGTCCTCTGATGAAGATATTTCTCTCTTTGATTGCTGAAAAACTTCAAAAGCCAGAGTCAGATCTGACTCATAGTGACCCCTCCTTGAGGTTTCTCAAGTGGTATCATTATGGAAGTAGATTGTCCTTCCTTTGGAGGAGTATCTGGTGGGTTTGAATTGCCAGCCCTCTGGTTAGCAGTCAAATACCTTAGGCACTACACTACCAGAGCTCCTCTAGTTTCAGCATGAGAGGATAAAAAGAAATTTTTCCACAGTCAGGGTGTTGTACACAATCATACCACTGCATGTTCTACTTGATATATGATATATATTGATGTATATACACACAAAAAATTATACCTCTTTGTTTTGTTCACATTTGGAGCACTGAGGAAGAGATTTTCTCTATTGTCTAGTAGAGATTTACAAGAATGAGACTACTTTCTCTACCATAGTCTGTCAGAGATCTTTTGGCACACTGACAAATTGATGGAAAAAGGAGCCATTTCCACATAGCAAATAACCCCCCACCCCCCACCCCCCAAAAAATTTTCTCAAATGACTTCTGCAGGTTGAGCTTAACTGGATTGAAGTTTTGTGTTTGGTCTCCACCTTTGTATTTCTTTTTGCATTCTGCTTTAATTGATGCTCCGATGAGATGTATTATTTAGCTTTCTAAACTACCTTTGTTTCTTTTGCCAACCTGGCAGGGTATAAAAAAATAGGTGAAAGAAAATATATTAATACATTTCTAAACATACAAAGGTTTAGACCCCAAGAGGTGCTAATGACAGGACATGCCAATCCTATCCATGTTCTTCACTACATGCTAAAGCCAAAATAAATTTTTAGTCTGAGAGGAGAGGTAAAACAAAAGCAAACACTTAAGAAGAGACTACAGAGGGTTTAAAGGGTGAGAGAGATATTTAAAGAGGTCCTAACCTTAAACAAATGATGATTCAGGCCAGATGAGTGGTGGCTTCATAAGATCCTGGGAGTGAGTAAAATATTGTAGTGACCAAAAGTTAATACAATTCAAGAACTGTTTTCCTACAAGGATGGTAAATTATTCAATGCCTATAGAAGAGTTAGGGGTATGAGGAAGGTCATATTGATTTCCTAGACTAATCTGAGCTGTATCTGCTGATGAATAGAAAACGGAATGCACTTTAGATTCATTCTGTAAGACAAAAAGGTCAGAGTTAGTGGCAAAAAGAGCAGCATGACAGCCACCTCTAAAGAGGATAGGTTCACCAAGCCTCACCAACCCCCAAAT